GTGTCATAGCGTCATGATCAGTAATTTTTTTTTAATGAGCATATATTTGACTGTGTTTGATCTTCCTCTTTTGCCATCAGTTAAACCTCATTGTGTTGGTGATGACCTTACATAAGATGCACAGCACCGCTGCTTTGAAGCCAGACTCCAGTCGCCATGACAACCTGAGGTTAGTAAGAGTCTCTCGTGCCGTTCGGCGGTGAATTATTATGTGTCATTGTGCAAAGCATGAATTGATAACTGCTGGATGAGGCAAAGACAGATAAGTTTAATTGTGAGTCTGTTTTATTAAACATCTTTCGGGTGCATTTGTTATTATTAATGTTGAATGAAATTTCATTAATATCATTTAATAAAGGTAAGAGAACTGAAAGAAGAAGTGCAGCAACTGTAGCCTTTAAAAACCCGAATTAAATGCACTGCAGCAGTCTTGAATAGCAGCATGACCTATGTAGACTCTGCGTCCTTTTGAGTGAGTAAAGGTCAGACCTTAGCATTGCTGCAAAAATGACAAATAGAGGGAAGAAAAAGCATTCATTCAACAAAAGAGAAAAAGTCAGCGAGTGTGTATGTGAGTAATGTCGAGCATGTTCAAGGTAGTGCAGCCCACATCTGTCACAGCTTTCTTTCACAGTTTCTGTTGCTGATGGGGGCTGTCGGGTACATTTGGCTTTACAAACCTCAGCGCTGTTACATGCTCCTTCCTCCTCTTTGTGTTAATAATTTAGCTGCCCTGTGAAATAGAGGCACAGTTGAATTTTATTCATTTTCAGCGTGAGGCGAGTGAAAACCTATGTTTTAAGTCGCTCATCAGAAAAGTAAAATATGTCTTTGCTTTGGTGTCTGCAGGGCATGGGCAGTTGGCTCCCTGACACTGCTCTTCCTGCAGAGTGTCACTTGGTCTTCAGGCCTCATGTTCCTATCTGCTCCATCTCTCCTCCTGGCTTACCTCTTCTCGTCCCTCAACACTGCCCAGGCTCTTCTTATCAGCATACTGCACTGCAGCCTCGCCAGGAAGGTCAGTGTCAGTGAGCATGAATCATTAAATAACTGCAGGTGTCTGTCAGTGACATAATTATATTTGAAGAAAGCCGTCTTCTACATGACTAAATAATGTTTTAGGGTCAGAAGGATTATGGCCGTTGCCTGCGTCTTTCGCAGTGCTGCGCAACTTCCTCGTCCAGCTCTCCAGACTCGGTTAAGGGTGCCGCTCTTAGATCCAACAGCCGCTACACCAGCAGCCAGAGTCGCAGGGCCACGGCTAACAGACAGGTATGCTGAAGCACTCGGTGCCTCTTAGTCTCCTTCTTTGTGTCTGAGCCAGGTTTGAACTTCTGTAATATGTCTGTTTCAGAGTCGTATCAGAAGGATGTGGAATGACACCGTTCGCAGGCAGACTGAGTCGTCTTTCATTGCAGCGGATGTTAATAATACACCTACTCTTAACCGAGGTACAAGAGTTTATAGCTCAGATATGCTGGCTCTGCAGACAAAGAATGTGCCATTTATTTTCTCCCTCTTTATCACCAGCTGCTTTGGGGAACCATTTTCTTACTAACCAAGTGCTGCAGACTCATGCTGGAGCCTCTCCATATGACACAGTGCTGGCCCAGGGATATAATCAACCCTTTACCTCCACAGGTACATCCTAATACAGTTCTCTATACTCCCTCCTTCTCTATTCTTTTCTTCTCTTATTATTATCTTTTACCATTTTCTTATTTATGTATATGCACAAAACCCTGCAAAGCTCTAGGCTATGCTGAATACTGAGTGACCTTTAGACCACTATTATATACAGTAGCCATTTATACAAGCAAAAATTTTGTTTGTTTAGCTTTTAATAGCCTAAAGCTTTTGCACAGTACAGTGTTGTCTGTTTTTTGTACAGTATGGATGCTTGGATTTGTTTGAGTTTGTTTAATTGTGTTTAGTTGTTCGACTTGAAATAATTGTTTCTTTTTTGATACTTTTCCTCTCTGTCTTTCTGTCTTAACATGGACCAGTAGGAACCTTCAGAAACAAGCAGAGTATGAGCTCTTCCCTCTTGTGCTCACTTGAATCATTGAGCGCCACTCCCTTGTGCACTGTGCTTCAATTCATAGACTATCTGTGAAATGTTTGCACACAGTCACAATGCACAGACCATAAAGACATAAAGCACATTTCTCCATGTGGCTACATAACCAAACATTTCATTCAGAAATATTAATATCCAAAACACTCTCAGCAGGAACACCAAACTCTGCTCATTCATTCATTTGGTCATTCATATATATTTATTGCTGAAGTTCTTATGGGTTCCTTGGCTTTTTGTGACTGGCATTTTCTTTTTTCTCCTAACAGAGGGTGGCGTTTCACAAAGCCAGGAGTCTTGTGGGTTGGACAGTGTGTGTCTCAATGGAGGCTACACCCCCAACACCTTCACCCTGCACGGTTTAGGGACGACTCCTGGGTCCCGAGCTGGAGTAGTGGGCAGCACTGACCTTCTGAGGGACGGAGGAGTTGGAATGGGAGGGGACGACATCTCCCCAGGGCTCCTGACACCGCATGGGGGAGCAGATCTGAGCGGTGGTGCTGGGATGCGTCGTAATCTGTCCGATGCAGCAGCACTAGAGAAGATGATTATTTCAGAGCTGGTACAGAGCAACCTGAGGCCTTCAGTTCCCATGCCTGTTCCTCCTGAGCGCTACGGCAGCTTGGCGAGGCCGCACCACCACGACAGGCCGTCTCTCACTCACACTGCCACTTTAACGCGACACGCACAGCCGCCACAAGAGGGATGGGCTACCTCCTTGCAGCCAAGCACACGGCATAACGCACAAGAGGGCTGGTCACAAACAAGGCACCTCACACAAGACACTGAGACACATTCCACGACACGTGGACAAGATCTTACCACAACGCCTCGCTTACAAGACGGCTGGTCACACGCGCGCATTTCTGGGGATTCTGAGTCCCGTGAGCTGCTTAAAGATGGGGACCGCTCACAGCTGCAAGGTACTCTGGGACGCCGTGGGCTTCAGGAAAGACAGCAAGCGCGTCCCCCCGATGTTCAAGCACGACCTTATTCCACTCTCAGCCGCACGCCTGGTACTCTGTCCCGCCACCGCAGCACAGCAGAGTCAAGTGGAGGGACGGACAGAGACAGGGAGAAAGAAAGAGA